CATAAAAAATAAGAGAAATCTTGAATCTTGATGAGGTAGGGTAATCCCTGAAGCAGCTTTTCCAAGCTATACTGGGAATGGAATGGTCGGGTGCATCGCAGTAAACCTTCTGTGATTTGATATCCAAAATGAAGGAAAGTGTTTTAAGGGGAGTAACATTATAACATGTTGAGAAAGTCACATCTAGACTACCCACAGGATTTCAATAAGTAGTTCTCCTTCTTCATTTCATCATTTTTCCTCACCTGACAGGTAGACATACCTACTGGATGTTAGTATTAAGGTCACATGGTTCCAGCCAAAGTGAGTAGATTTTACCAGACCTTTTCCATATCCATGTCAGCATAATGTTCAAATATTAGAGATCCGTCTTTTCAATAGACTCACAAAATGAATCTCAGTGCCACGGGAGAGAAAGGATTTTTTTTTATACAATCCACTTTGTCTGGCATCAAATATCCAACAGACATCATTTAAATGGAGTGATGTCTGAATGATGCCAGAAGGAAGGCCCTGCACATCATTGTTAACATATCTACTTTTATCTCAGATGTCAGAAAAGCATCATTAATTTTGTTTCCGTCACATAGCTCCAGTGTGTCTGTTTGGTTTCTCATTGCGGCATCATCACACAGTTGAAAGAGCTGACAGGAGCTAAACCCTGCAAATACTTTTTAATTGAGATGTAATATGTTAACTCTCAAATACCCGGGCACATAAAACTCAGAATGTAATATCTTTATTAGTCTAGATGTTAGAAAAGCATCATTTACTGCACAGTTTGTATGCATATGTCCATTACTTAATCAAAGCATTGTCAAATATTGACTAGGCTGGCAAGAAAATGTTAACCTTTGTCAATATAAATACTAAATCAACCATCACTCTTACTGTCGATACATCCTCATCATCAACCTTCATCAATATGTCAAAAGATAAATACAAGAATGACACAAAGTCAATACTTTCAAATGGCAAACACCTATAAATAATCCCCATCCTGTTAGAAAAAAAAAGTGAGAAAAGACAACAGAATGGATCTTCATCAGCACCTCCATCAATGTGTCAAAAGATAAGACAAGAACACCACAAATTTAATACTCATCAGATGACAAAAACTAATGAATATTGCCCTTTCTTGAAAAAAGCAAGAAAAGAAAACAATGAAATAATTGTTAAGCAGTAGATCAATGAAAACGAACAGCAATTGAGAGGAAGCAATCGTAGATGCATCGTTTTAGGGAAAGTCAAGTAGATATCGCTAATGAAGGGTGCAATGAAATCCACTTGTTTTGCTGAACAATCCATTTCTGCCCCTTTACATAATGGTACTTGGAGGTGTGATGATGATGATGAGAGTCTATAAGGGAGATGGAATGACTCTATTCTCTGACTACACCTCCTCTTTCAGCCTAAGTGCTGCTCACTTCCAAACTGTCAAGCTTTGGCTGCGATCGATAAATGGCAATGATTTCCCCTCAAGTGACAAATGGAGTCTCTCTCAAGGGGCTTGTTTCATGTATGACTTCTCCATCCCTTGTCTTCTGGGCCAGTCTTCCCAGAATGGAACACGAGATATTATTCCAAGACAAGCAGTCGTAAGCCAATGATGAGCTAATCATGCGAGAGCCAGGGATGGGCTAATTTTCGCGCAAATCTGGAAAGCTTTTGGAAACGTTTGACAGTCTACATTTCACAAAAGGGCATTGCTGCCGTGATACACACTTAACATGTGAAAGCTCATCTTTTTAATGTGTAGCCAGAGTAACAGAGATTATCCCATGACAGTATTTGTCTCTTATACAGATCTCATCTGTGTAATAGATTCTGTGATCAGATCCTTTATTACATTTTGCCATTTTATCAACAACATGGAAAACGAGTCCTGATGAATAATTCGTTTTTGTGCAACACGTCCTCTACAACAAATTTCACAGAAGAAAGACATGTGTAGAAGTACAACAATTAGCATAAACATATAAATAGGGAAACATTGAAATTTCATAGTCAGAGATATACTTCTTCATCATGAAATATCTTATCAGAGTTTCAGATTATTACAGATTATAACTTCCCAATGGAAAATAAAACACAACAAAACAAGCAAACAAACACACAAAGATTTTATTATAAGTTTTATACCCAGATCAGAAACTACTTCAGAAGCTATAGAACACATTTTCATCTGAAAGTGTGTCATTTTTTGTGGAATTCATAGACCACACAATGTGTATAAATCAAAAACTCTGCTATGACATTTGTTAGAAAAAAAATCTTTTAAAGCTACAACATAAGTTAATAGGCTGATTTATAATGAGACAAAACTTAATTTGTCAGCGATAAGCTGAAAATGCATGCTCATAATTAATATAAAGGAATGGGATATAAGTATCATGCCCGGCCCAGTCACACCTACGAGACCAACATGGGACAGATAACAGCCTGAATATATACACAATTATATTAACATTGACAGTGTGACTGAAGCCAAAGAGTGAAGATAAATTGACACTACTCTACATACAATGGAAATCCAAATGAAAAGAAATTAGACGTACACACATCACATTATCTAACATGACAGGAACTAAAAGGGCAAACTCACACATGAATATAATGTAACAGTCTTTTTTAGATCTTATTTTCATGATTTTAATGGAAATAATTACTGAGGAGGCTTTTATCTTGAACATGTTTAATGGATGTGTGCTGGCTTAGTGGTAGAGTTGTGGTCTCGTAACCGAGAGGTCCCAGGTTACAAACCAAGTCAATGCACTAGTGTCTTTGGTAAGGCATTAATCTTCATTGCCAAGTCCCTCAGAGAGGACTTAAAGCTGTCTGTATCCTGGTTGCTTACTTACAAGCATGCACAAGCTTTCTTAACAGTCAGGTAATTCAAACAAATGAACAACATTTTCTTCTTTTTCAAAAATGAGTTAATGGTGTCGGCTTATTTCATTCATTTTTTTTTAGCCTACTACATGATGTCAACTTGGTGCATTTGAATCCCCCAAAAGGTTGAAATCTTGAAATTCTAATCTTTACATTTTCATGACCATTCCCAAAGAGAATTAATACCCTTTCAGTACTCATCAAGCAAATTAAAAATTATCAAATTTAGTATGCATGTCATGTTCTCCGGTAGAGTAAGATGCTCCTGTAGTTTATTGATGTGACAAAGCAATCAGCATAATAGTGTGTTTATAATAGAAAACAGAAAGATGGCAGTTTTATTTGATGGCATTAGTCAATTGACTTCCCTTTATGAGACTTAATCTGCAGGGAAATCCCCTACAACACACTGACTCCAAGAGAACATTACTTTAATGAATTTATTTATACCGAGGATGGTCATTTTTAACCTACTTTGTAGTTCCAGTAATGCATTTTCACATACAGGAAACTAGATGGAATTTTGACTGCGCGCAGTCGAAAATGATGCCTCCGCCATAGAGCAATTTAAACAAGTTTGGAGTTTAAATCTCCAGTGGTTCTTGAGATATCATGATAACAATCTCAATGTATGGAATTTCATGTTGACCTCTGTGACCCTTGACCTTTGACCTACGTGCTCCAAAATCTAATCAGATTGTCTTCCTATGGTGATACACACTATCATTAAGTTTGAAGTTTAAATCTCCAGTGGTTCTTGAGATATTATGATAACAATCTCAATGTATGGAATTTCATAAGTTGACCTCTGTGACCCTTGACCTTTGACCTACGTGCTCCAAAATCTAGTCAGATCGTCTTCCTATGGTGATACATACTATCCTTAATTTTGAAGTTTTTACATCTCCAGTGGTTCTTGAGATATCATGATAACAATCTCAATGTATGGAATTTCATAAGTTGACCTCTATGACCCTTGACCTTTGACCTACGTGCTCCAAAATGTAATCAGATTGTTTTCCTATAGTGATACACACTATCACTAAGTTTGAAGTTTAAATCTCCAGTGGTTCTTGAGATATCATGATAACAATCTCAATGTATGGAATTTCATAAGTTGACCTCTGTGACCCTTGACCTTTGACATACGTGCTCCAAAATCTAATCAGATCGTCTTCCTATGGTGATACATACTATCCTTAAGTTTGAAGTTTAAATCTCAAATGGTTCTTGAGATATCGCGCTAACAAACTCAATACAAGGAATTTCATAAGTTGACCTCTGTGACCTGTGACCTTTGACCTACGTACTCCAAAATCTAATCAGATCGTCTTCCTATGGTGATAAATACTATTCCCGAGTCTTAAGTTTAAATCTTAAATGGTTCTTGAGATATTGTGATAACGGTCAAACGGGACGGACGGACGGACGTACGGACGGACGGACGTACGGACGGACAACCCGAAAACATGATGCCTCCGGCACCACCTTCGGTGGCGGAGGCATAAAAAGCAACCCATTGAAGTGATCTAGAATTGTTTATAATGCAGTAGGTTGGATGAGCAAAATGTAAACAAACTGGTATAAACACAATCTTTGGGAATTGCATTATCTGAAAATCACAACTCTCTTTTGCACATAGAGTACTAACTCGATTTCCTTCTCTTTCTAGGCTAATTACTGAGCAAATATACATTTTCTTCCTAAATTGTTTGACAGAAATTAACTTTCCCACCATTACCTGAACTCAATATAATCTCTAGGGATGGTATCACTACCCACAGATTCATACCATTTAAGATCTTGTCTCAAAAAAACAAATATACAGTCAAATCTAATCCTCCTCCTAGCGCCTAAGGCTTTTCAGAATGTTACTAACTGTTTAACTGGAGATCATTCTGCAATTGAATGCTTAACAGAAGTAGTGTTTAGGGCTAAATTTGATAGAAAAGGCCATAATAGGCTAATAAGGGTTAGTTCACAGAGACATAGAAATTAACTGTTTCACCTTTATAACATTTAATGTCATGAGGTACTATGTAACAAACGTTATTGCTCTGTATAAATAATCTGCTTTGACATTGAAATAAACATAGTTTAGTACAAACCTGACTTGATCCTCTGTAGTATCATCTGTGGTGAGGTCTGGTAGCTTGAGAGAGACAGGAGAGATGATGTAAGGCTGGCTAAACATCAGAGCCTGTATAGAAAGGGAGAGGCAAAGAGGAGGATAGAGAGAGAGAGAGAAGAAGAAGAGAGGGATAGAGAGAAGAGAGGGATAGAGGGAGAGAGAGAGGGAGAGAGAGAGAGGGAGAGGGAGAGAGAGTGAGCGAGAGAGAACAGATAATTAGAGTGGGGCAGAGATAATAAATACATAACATTTAATTGAGAGGAAATTGGAAAAATGAAGGAAAAGAAAGAGCAAACCAGAGAAAAATATAAGTATGAAACAAAATGTTGACAAATTACAGATAATTCGTCCTTGTTTTCACGAAGTGACGGTAGTGAGGAAAATCGTAACGCAAAGTGAATGCAATTTTTTTTCACTACCGTCACTTCGTGAAAACAGCGACGAATTTAAATACAATGTTGAAAAATGCTTCTTGCATCAGCATCCAATCTACATATCAACTTTATTTGTTATCTAAAATTCTCCACATTGCAATATAAACTGCATTAACCACAACATAACAAGATGAACACTTTTTTATGCACTAGTAAGTAACTTGTAAAACTCAAATCTATCTAGGTAGTTGAGCCTGGCAAAGGTGAGCCGATATCCCTTATACACCATAATCTGATTGAAAATAAAACCATCTTTAAGGGTTCAAACCCTTCTAAACCCCTGCCTTTCATGAGAAGGTGATCTTGAGTCTACAAAGTCACTTTGTTCATGGACACCTCTCCTTCAGGTAATGAGTCTGGATGGAGGGAGTGCGGAGGGGGGGGGGGGGGATACAACACATTCACTATTGACAATTGCCCAGCTTTCAATTTCCTATACCAAACAAAATTCCTACTTTCAACCATAGATCAGTCATAACACCCATCCCTGAACCTAACCCTACATCTTTGAAGAAATAATGTCCAGAGCAAATATCAGGTCTCTGCTGGGGGTGCCGGGGAGTAGTTGATACACTTTCGGAGGATCAAGTCGTTCTACGCCTAATACGATTGAATCAGGCTAGGGGATTTACCCTCGATGACAAGTCTAACACGGTTGGAATGGCCCAACAAATACTGCATTTTCAAGGGGGTGTGTTTAAACTTGTGTGTGTCTGTCAGGATGGTTACAATGCATTGCTAGTGACAAGGTTGCCTGAGTTATGGCACGCGCTGCAATAGGGGGCACGTTTGGGTAGAGATCTAGTTTCTCTATTTCAATAGTACACACCAACTTAACCATATATCATCTTTGTCTATAATTTTGCATTGACATGCATGTATACGTCACTAATAAATAACATAAAAATTATGTGTATTAAAATCTTGCACACAAAGAATAGCCCTCTATACCACAAAGGTAATTTAGATTTGAATGTCTTGTCTCTGCAAATATGTAACATACTGCACATATTGCATTCTTCATATTTGGGCAAACATATAAGTGTGATCACAGTTTTGCAAGTGTCACATTACCAATAAGTGTGGGGATCCTTTTAGTCAACAGAAACATTCATGTATGAACACAGCTTTGTATGTGTTGCAGGTGAACATACAAACACATCACTAATAAGTGTGGGGATCCTTTTAGTCAACAGAAACATTCATGTATGAACACAGCTTTGTATGTGTCTGTGTCGCAGGTGAACATACAAACACATCACTAATAAGTGAGACATCCTTGCAGTCTCAAGGAATGTGAGATCAATTGGTAGGCTTGACAAGTGGAGGGGATAAGATTACAAGATTAAATCTATTGAGATTGGTCTGGATTAGATCAACTAATGAGGTGTCATACCATTCATTTAGGGTTTGATTATTCCAATCATCAATATATCCACCCCCCTCTCTCTCTCTCTCTGTCCTCTGTTTTGCCATCTCTCACTCTCCTGTCTCTCATATACACATGTACATATAGTTACCCTTTAGCCTAAAATCCTTCCCGTTTTCCTATCTCTCTTTTCTATTTTATCCCCCTTTCCCCCCTCTCCATCCCTCCCATCTCTATACCCCTCTCTCTCTCTTTCTCTGTCCTTTAAAATAGAAAACCTCTATACATAGCTATGCTACTCTTGAACTTCTCATCTCTCCCATCGGTCTTTGTCTCACCCTTCTGTTTCCATTTACCCATCCTCCACTTTGTTAGTCTCTGTACTTGTTTCTATCAAATCATCAAGGAAAACCAATCTCCGTATACTTCAAACTGCCTAATGATCAAAACCAGTGATTAAACAAATTGCTACATCAAGTTTCTATTTCTCAGATTGCATTCTTCAAAAACCCAATGCTAAACACACTTCTAATTCTACTATTCTACCACTAATATTATTGATTTAAAAACTCTATGCCTCTGAACTCTTTCCACTTTCTTATAAAGATTGGAGTCACCCATTCCAAGAAACGGTATTTGTTCACATGGACCAATTAAACGGGTATTTATGTGGAGCACTTTCTCTGAGAGCCTGCACATAAAGGCATCTTCTCAACTTGGCTGTCGTTGGCGACACGCAGCCGACGCCACACCTGGCGGCTTGAGTCAACTAATACGTGTTGCTACGTCTCCCAGCCGGGGATTTCACGGTGATACTGCAATCTTCTCTCCTTTAAACATGTCAACCCTATTCCAAGTATCGATTTCATGTTGTGTCTTATCCCTGGATTGTATAATTCAGGGCCATTCACACTGCAATCAAAAACATTGGCTTTTTCGCAACTGTTCTGGAGTTTTGTAGGAAGGTGTTATGAAACTTCCAATAATCATGACAACAAATTCACAAAAAAATATCAAACTCTGGGGTGTATCTTTTCAAAACTCTGCTGGCTTTTGGACACTTTCATAACACCATTGAATTTAATCCAGTTTTGGGACACAGAATTCTCGCATGCAGGGCAGTGACAAGTTGCACATTCACACTACTCACATACAAATAAAAATGTTTAAAGAAATGAATGTTTCGATGGAAAACAAGAGCCCATTGCTTTTCCCAGGCTTTTCCAGTTGTGAACATGGTAGTTAAAAAAAAAAAACAATACTTTTCCAATTTTTTTGTTTTTGTGTAGGGTAAATGGGCTTATTGTCTACTTTGTCTATTGTATGCAGAGGTAACGAGGACAAGTAATACGATTTCTCATCTAAGCGAAGCCCATTGTGTATACCTGATATGTTTCAGGTATTCTCAATGGAACGTAATGAGGACAGGAAGTATATCATTCTCACAGGTTACAAAACCATGCGGGAATGATTGTGAAAAAACCCTTGTCTAAGAAACTAAGAAGTTGTAATAGAGATGAAAGAGGACACCTTTTTGTAAACCATTGTTTTGATATGGTCATTTGAACTTTGAAGTTAAATTTGTTTGTAAGACAGTAAGTTCATCTACTACTTGCTACAGCTTTTTTTATTTATATTTACACCATTGAAGTTGATTAATGAAGTTTGTTGGAGTGTTTAGAATCTGTGCAGAAATGAATTCCAAAAAAGATCCAAGTCACGTAACACTTAGCACATTTAGTACTTGATCGTACAATAAATTGAATGATCAACTGATTGTATATTTAGCAATCCATAGCAAAATAGCAATCAATTACTCACTTATCCTTGTGATACCCTCGGGGCCCAAATTAGTGCTCGTCCACATATATCAAAGTGGCAGTTTACTTAAGTCATATAAATTGATCATTTCTACAATTGTGTATATTTTCAAGTTCAGATAATACATCATACAATATATCCAGTCCAGTCTGCAATAAGCCTCATAATGTCTTTATATCATTTTAAAACCATAATATAAATTGTAAATGACATCCTAGATTTGCAAATTATGCACCAAGACCTACAGTCCACTCCTTTTCCATGATCGATTCAGTGCTCAAATTATATGACAAATCGTGATATGGATATTTTGAAGAGACTTTAAAAAAAAAAGTATCTTAACTGATCAACAACACTTAAGGGTGCAATGACTGAAGTATCTCTTCTTGCTTTCAAAGAGGTACCTAATTCACCTTCTCTCCAATGCGAGACCGTTCCGAGGAGATAGATAAACACTGACACCTCTTAATATGCCATGTTCACATGTTGTATTAAACTGTCTCAAAAAGCAGCTTTGGCAAAATAGAATAACCATGGTATAGCATGCTTCACTCTTCTGTATCTCACATGTTCTAACTTGGATAACAAAATTTGAGGGTCTCTATAGATAACGCACTCAGCGATATTTCTCTCAGCCCCACTTGTCATTCATACAAACATGAAAGCTTTTTTTCTTGACATGGATTACAGCATCATATGTGAAAGAGGCTCACACTAGAGCGTGGGGTGTGGGATGGTGGATGGGTGGATTCCACACCCACTACACTCCCAGAGCATATACATTTCACCTGGTATTAATACAGACTTTGTTTTAATCGGAGGGGTAATAAAAGAGAAGGCGTGTAGGCATTGGTGAAGGTGGTAAAGTACTTTGAACTGTGATGCCACCTCAGACAAAGTAAAACTAATAACTTGACATCACTGAATCAGAGAGAGAGAGAGAGAGAGAGAGAGAGAGAGAGAGAGAGAGAGAGAGAAAGATGGCTAAAGAGAAAAGAGAGCTTCATCTTTGGCTGTATACACAACCAGGTATTGGTAATTGCTACTAGAGTTCATTAAATCCAATTTTTAAAAAGTCTGCAAATTTGTTTTCATGCAGTGCAATTATACTTTATAAAACCAACTGAATACCAATCTCAAAATAATGGAGCTAGATTATAATTATGGAAAGTGCTTAGAGTTATATCATACTGATTTGTATCCAACTGGTAAATAGTTGTATTCTTCTAATTTTATTGTAAAGAGAGTAATACTATCCAATAAAGAGGGTTACACAAGAAAAAAAAGGACTAGTCAACTCCATCTGAACCAAACTATAAACTCACACCATGCACAGCCCCATGCCTAATGACCAAAGAAACATCTCGACTGTCAATTCCATGAAACTTTGAAACAAAAGCCAAATGAAAGGTCAAGCATTATCTTTGTCTTTCCTAATCAATGCAGCCATAGAACAGTTGGGGGAGTCTATAATTTATCTACGCCGCTGTGTACGGGACATCCCATGTCAGAATGAGATAAACACTCATTCGTTAACCACCCATTCAGACTACACAAATTAATTGCGTAACTATACGTTCGTTGTATAGCAATATGATAAGCATCGCCACAAATGAAAACTCTATAAAGACTCAGGATCCTACTATAGGCTGATCATTGTATTGTACGAAAACTGTATAACTGGGCGGGGCTTATCGTAAGCTCGCACTGATGATTGGCTTGGTGTCATGTCAAATTTCCTCTTCAAAATCAGTTTCTTTATACGTTTCTTCATACAATGTTGCTATAGTAGTGTGTATGCCCTTTTCTCAATATAATGATTCCTTATACAAGTTTTGTATAAATTTCCCTCTAGTCTTAACTGACTATAAGCTGATCTTTAGCTAAAGGCTGCTCTCATTATGACAAGAGAGTGTTAGGGAGGCTTTTAACATTACCAACCTGGGATATTAAAACAATCTGCTAATGACCACATACCACTGTACATCCTTGCATGCAAGCCGCGCTTGAAGAGTCTGATATAACTAATCAAGCTTTCATTGGGGTTATCTAATGACTTCCACAAGAGATAATGCCCTGTTCAGAAAACTAATTTAAATACATGCATATAGATATAAGACAATTGTTTTTGATAAAATCTATGTAATACCTGCAATATATAATCTCATGTACTAATTAAAATACACTCATTACAGTTATGCAAGCTTAAATGTTGTAAAACTGATAGCATCATGAATAATATGACATCAAATTAATGTCCATTTCTTTGCTACCTATACATGCAAATGTATGATTTTCATATTCATAACATTAAGAGGGGTATATGAGGAGAAATTGTTTTTCAGCTTTAATATTGCATCTGGAAATGTTTATCATTGAATGATATTTCTATACTGCCAAAATGCAATATTTTACATACTGTTGCATTAATTTTCAATGCTTCAGGTGAAATAATGAAACATAAACACACAATGAAGGCAATCATTGCTGTAGCATACCTTAACACCCCTTCTTTACTAGATACCCATATATCCACCCTGACTTACTGACTGGCCCACCTCCAATTATTCTCCAAGTTTAGTCTACCAGATGTCCGCCTACTACCATCAGGATATTTATGGTTTCTTCTGTCATATGTCATTTCTCTATCCCCCCCTCTCATTCTCTTACTACCCCTCTCTCTCTCTCTCTGTCTAGCCCTGTCTCTCTCTCTCTCTCTCTCTCTCTCTCTCTCTCTCTCTCTCACATGACATTACATCATGTTATTGATATCTCTAAACTGCCCCTGTGGCCAAAGCACACTCTATAATGCATGACTAACATCACTTCCCGAATGGGGCGATATTTCGATCGGATATTCTGTATAATTAGGCACTTACTAGAAAAGAAATGAGCAACAGTCTCTATCTTTGAGTTTATACTGAAGATTAGAGTTGGTACACATACTTGTTTAATGCAAATACAATGCCAAAAACGGCAATTCACAACTAGATTGTGAAACTTTGACTTTTCAATACTATCTACACTTACAGGAATTAGGAACAGGGGTAGTAATAGTTCATGGCTACACAATGATCCTTATATCAAATATGTTGCACAAGCTTGATTTTCAACATTGCCCACAATTCTATTCAATAATTGAGGAAGTAATGTCACTTCATGTGGTCCTATAACCAATGTATCAAAGCAAAAATTCTGACTAACTAATATGTTAAAGATGGCTCATTATCAAGTTACTAAGATGTCAATTGCTCAGAGCCAAGAAGGGCGTTAACTATAACACTATGACATAGATCTATAGTCAGAGATAACGTCCTTCTTGCTCTCAGCTGATCATCAATCATACATACCTGGCCTGAATAATAGAAATCCATGGCTCTTTTCACTGATTCCTGGTCTGCCATTAGAACCCATGCATACCCATTGGGCTTCCTCTGTATCAGGTCCTGCAAAAAATAAATACAATCAAATATAATGAAATGATGAAAGAAATGGAATAAAACGTATTACATTGATACAGTTTAATCCCTTGGTACCGTGAGACAAGGACTAGCAGTGTTGGAATTTCTAATCTTTGCTTCTTTTTTTTATCATTTCCCTTCATTTTGAGGGTAAGCCTAGAGAATGAAATCAGATATATGTAAGCTCATAAAAATGATATCTCTGTTAAACCTGGTGAATTAAGCAAATTGCATGTGACCAGATTAAACACTTTAATAATCATGCTGTTATATTTTTAGTTTTTATAAAATGAGGATTAAAAAAGCAAAAACAACAAGAACAAAATAATTTGAGACAATTTGCTGATAAGACCTCCATTTGTTAAGTAACGCAATGATATTGATATTGAAAACACCAATCATTTTTTTTATCATTTTTGAGTATCAACTCAGTGGTGAATATAGCTTCCATAAAAATTGATTATCCTAAGATGCTGCAGGCTATGTGGGGAATGGTAAGGATAATCCTAAAGCTACACACATTATATGTAGTTCTGGTAAGCATATTTGGTCCTGTAATCTTCTGAAACATTTCAGAGGCTTTTGTTGCTTGCATCACATTCAATAGTCCTTTCAATCCTTGAGTTGATTCCTTGGTGGCATGTCCTCCTCTTGGATTCAATTCATTTGCAGTCTGAACATTCTCTTCTTCCTATATCAATTTATGAGAAAATGCCCTCATGACAATTTATGCTCCCTGCATACTGATACAAATGTTTTTCATTTCATTTCTACGACTTCAATCTCAATTCCTTTCTGCATTTCTCTTTCCAACTCTCTCTCTCTCTCTCTCTCTCTCTCTCTCTCTCTCTCCCCACTTTAGTTATTGCTCTCAGTGTGGTTCAATGACCATTGAATATCCATCTTCCTCTATCAATCTCTCTCATCCAACTCTTTAATGCCTTAATTTGTTTGAATGAGAGCCGTTCACCCTTCCTTTCTTAACGCCCCTCTCTCTAATACATCTCCCCATCTAGCATCTCTCTCTACCACTCATACTTTCCTTTTCTATCCCTTTATGTTCTCCATCCATCCCTCTATCTCACAACTCTTCTTCTTACCCTTACTCTTTCCCCTACATGTATCTTTTGTTCTCCTGGTTCAGCTAAGTTCTCCTCTCTATCAAAGCTCTATTCTTAATTAGAGGTGTAAAGGGGTTCTCATTCTGTCTGCCTCTCTCTCTCTCTCTCTCTCTCTCATTCTCTCTCTCTCTCCTTCTCTCTCTCTCTCTCTCTCTTACTCACTTCCTCTCTCACTCATGGAAGGTAGAGGACCCCAGATGCACCACCCTGGATGCTGCAACCATCCAGCCAGCCAGGATCCTCCCATCCCCCCATCCAGACATCCCCCATTGACACATTGATAGCCTAATGAGGAAAGGAGAGAGTCGCATCTATCATTCACAGAGTGGAGCTAAATGTGTGTGTTGCCAAGGTGTTCAAACAGCGGGCCCGGATGATGACGGATGATGGTGACATCTCACGACTCCTTGAGCAGCTCTCACTAGTCACAGCTGCAATTGATTCCGACCAAGCTGCATAAATAACCCAACTATCGCAATTCTACCTCCTTTTCCGTCTCGTTTGTCCATCCCAGGGAGGGAGGGGACTGAGAGAGGATGCTGAGAGGGGAAACTTTGAAGCCTGGATCACTAAGGATTGACTTGTCATGACTCCAGGCATAGTGTACTTCTTGGAGGTGTCTTGCTAGAAACTCTTGCTTTTATTCCAATTACATTCTCTTTATTTAATGCAGACTGAACATGAATTCTAGTTGTACCCCCTTCACTATCTAATGTAAATAATAGCACAAAGTTGAACACAGATTAAATGCCTGTACGAATGCAAACAGTTTATCATTTAGATGAAGACGATGGCAGTTTAATCTCTCTGAAAATACTTTTAGTAGTTTAAACTAAATTTTAACAACAAGGTTATACAACATTAGAAAATAAGGAAGAAAATATGAAAGTACTATGTACTCAAAATTATTTTTAAATACATAGGCCTAAAAAGTTAAAACATCTGCAGAGGCCTGTAAGCAAGTTGTTCCTGAAAAAGTTAACAAATTAAACAGAAAAACTATCCATCATACATGTACATCATTTGCACAATGTTTTGCTAAATATAGGTTTGAGAAGAACTGAACTGCTATTTTTTTCTAAATCATTTCATGCTAGTAAAGAGCTTCAATCTGAACCACCTGCAAATAATAAGACAGATGCAACTGAATACTCGCTTCTAAGCAGACACAGCACTCTACTCACTCGCAGGTGACAATGCCTGCCTGCCTGCGAGGGCAGCTAGCTCGATCAGCACACTCTCAAAACAATTGCCTACTCCTCAAAATCACAATCAATTGACAATTGGATGTCAGCAAATTTGCATTAACTACTTCCCATCCTCTGTCTGTGTATCTTTTGCTCCTGAGGGGTTGATGCAAGGGGAGGTAGACACATGCAGAATGGTATATTTTGTTTATTGAAATCTGCAGCTGTGCACTTTTAGGAAGTTATTCAAATGAATATAAAGACCAAATGAAGCATGTCACATTTTCGTCATCAGCAAAGTACAAAATTATTTAAATTTCCTTATAGTTACAGCTTTCTCTCTGGTTTGTCATTTGTAAAGCATTATTTTAAAGCATATGCATTAACATAAGTAACTATTATAAGCACAACGATTGCTTGCAGACATGCCTGTCCAATGTTGATGTTGTTTTTGTACTCATTAAATTTTGTTGAATATTAAATAGAAATTATGAAATATGAACTGTAAGTGAAAAGCTAGTACAGTTTATATTGCAGTTATGTGCATTACTGCTGTTTATTCTGAGAAAGCATATCATTATCTGAAATAAAATGTACTAATCACCTATATTAAATTTTCCTGTATGTTCGAGGTTCCATGTCATTACACTACATTAAAAATATTAGCTTCAAATATTACTACTGTAAAGAGAATTTGCATCTTGAAAAACACTCTCAATTATCATAAAAACGATTTCAGAGTAGCCTACCCAACGCACCTGTACTAATTGCTCACTTAAACAGGGCTTGCACAGAACCCGACTTCTGTTCCCTTTTCTTCAAACTCCTTATCCCTTAATAGCCCATAGAATGCTAGGTGAAGTTTTTGAGGTTGATTTGCTACTTCTAGCTTTAAAGGGATTGGGTATCTTTGCCTCAGATTCTAAACAAAATCCTTGATTTAGCTTATGCTGCAATCATAATTATAAACCTTTAGGCCAGTCGAGAATCCCATGACTTTTACAAGCCGATGGCCCGTCTGATTATCAAGCTATGTTTTATTTGAAATTGAAATTTCAAAAACTGTCTCGAAAAAAACCACTACAGTCTCCTGGGAAAAATGAGTATGGTAAAACTGGTCACTCAAAGATGTTTACTTTTTTAGGCACTTCATGATCATTTTGAAGCACAACTTTTTTAGGGCTTCAATATTACACCATATTACATACATTGATAACATGTAGGGCCATGCATCTCAGATTTGTAAAACTGGAAACATTGTTAAACAATGCCTTTAAACAAATAATTTTTGTTTCCGTGAATGGAACACTTTAATCATTAAGAGTCGATATATCCCTGTAGTATAGGCAGACCGAACAATGGCTGAATTCTCCGCGTAATGGATACTCCCCCTCAAATTATGCATTCAATTCATTCCACTTCAATTCATCTATTACTTTTCCATAGTTAATAATTCAATTCTGAGTCGTTATATTTTCATACTACTTGTTATACCTCATTTCTCTCTGCCTTCCCATTTTCACAATTTGACCATCTAATTGTATTTCACTGATTGCATACTCTTACTCTCACATTAATGCCATTCTCTATCTTGTTCACTACATAAATTATGATACTTTAACTGAGAAGTCTTTTCTCTGCATTTTTGTAGATCTCATGTTACATGTAAATGTATCATTTTGCCTGATCTCCTTCTCTTTCCATTAAATAATTTTGCTAATTTTCATTTTTGACCCATCAACTCCACCTTTCTTTTGTCCTCTTTGTAATTTTGTTCAGATTTTGTATCCCAGCCCCCTCTCTCTATCTCTGTTTCTATCTCTATCTCCCTCTCCCTCTGTTCTTCTTTTCACTTACTTTACTGTATTTTCACACTGACTGTTCTTAACCTGTCCATCTTTTATCCATCTATTTCACAGACTTATTTTTCTTTCTGTTCTTTTTATGCACATGAATTCTCTGTTTCCTTTTTTGTTCTATTTTTTCTTAGCAGATGTTGCTGCATTTATTGATAAATCAAATATAAAACATTCAAATAACAATAAAAGTATATAATATAATTGGTTTACATAAAGAGTGACAACTTAATATATACAAATAAAAATGCATAATTGAAAGCTTGAAAGTATGGGAGTAAGTAAAAATAATCAAGATAAATGCAGAGGCCAACTATCATAAGCAAAGACTTCTCTCTGTTATGTCTGTCTGCATGTCTTTAGCTATTTTCTCCTTATTTTTTTTCTCTCTCTCCTTCTCTTTCTTTCTCTCTCTAGCTCCCCCTATTCCTCTTACTCCTCTCTCTCTCTCTCTCTCTCTCTCTTTCACCTCTCTCTCTCTCCCCTCTCTTCTCCTCCTCTTTCTATCTCTTTCTTTCTCTTCTTTTCTTACCTTCATGATGCAGACCTCCTTGACATTGCAGTCAGCTTCGGCATCGAGATCCCCTTCCAGTTTACTTGCCGAGACGTTGCTGCTTAGATTACTAATGTACACTGCACAGCCTCGCAAGCTTTCCACCTGTACATGAACAATCAATAAAACAGCCTTCCTTTGTCAACAATTCTCAAAAATGTTTTTTCAAACATACTTAACATGAGTGATATTCCTCTGTGCTTAAATCATCAATTACATTGTTGTTTTCCCAGAAAGTCTAGATTTATACAGAATATACAGAATAATGAACAGACTACATTTTCAAACCTATCACCTGTAAAGAAATCTTAGATATTGTTGATGAATCTAAACCCAATACTAGTGCTGGTTTTGATGGAATCAATGTTAAAGTGATCAAATGTGTAATAGATTGAATTTCAAAACCTTTATGTGCAATATTTAATCAGTGTCTGCAACAGTGAATATTTCCTGATCTAATAAAAAGAATAGCTAGAGTCACTCCAATCTTTAAAAGTGGTATTTCTGAGATTATGTGAAATTATCGTCCTATTATATTGGAGAAATGTATTAATCATCGTCTTTATGCAATATCATCAGTAATAATCAATATGGTTTCAGAGCGGGATTCTACTTTGTCTGCATGTATGTATGTTATATTCTTTTTAATTGCTTTGGAGAAATAAAATTGAATAGAATTGAATTGGTTTCTATCTGCACTTATGTATGTTTACACAAACATGCTCTCACTTTCTTTGTTTTGTGCAATTTAGATACATGCATCTTCACTTGCTTTATCATCTATTCAAAATGCTAATTAAATTATCTGTATGTTTAAAAACATGGTTTGCTAATTACCTTTGCTTTATTTATTTCTTATGATGGAGGCTTATGATGTTAGCATGTTATCTCCTTTTCATAATTTCAGTAAATAAAAATTCTGTTTTATTTTGTTAACTTATGTTGATAGATAACAAGATATAAAAAATGCTGTAACGTCTATAGTTCTCTTGTAAGAAGATTGTTAAACAAAGGAGAGGTGAAAACTGATTAAGAATCTTGGTCACACATACATGTTCTTTTTGTAACTCCTATCAATCTTGACATAGTGATTATCAAGTACACAGCTTCTTGGAAGTTGCCTCCATCTGAATGAGGAACAGCATCACAATCTATTCCATTTTGTAAACTTTGACCCGTGACCTTTCTGAACATGAGCTTTTATGGTTTCAGAAAAGGAATGAAGGAACATTAGTTTTAAAGTCATGACAGCTTGGCTTTAATGAATAGAAGGTGTCCCAGACTGACTACAAATTAATTCCATTTAAGTCAGTGGGTAGGGCAGTAATCATCAATTTCTATTGCGTTAAAGTGACTCTGTAACATTGCCTCAGATTCTTAAACAAAGTCCTGGATTTAGCTCATGCTGCAATCATAATTATAAACCTTTAGGTCAGTCAGGAATCCCATGACTTTTACTAGCCAAAAACCTGTCTGATAATCACGATATGATTGGAAATCAAAATTTAAAAATTTGTCTTCCTAACGGTTTTTATAACACTACAGTCTATTGGGAGAAGTGAGTACCTGTTATGGTAAAACCGGTCACTCAAAGATCTTTACTTTTTGGAGGCACTTCATGATCATTTTAAAGTGCAATTTTATAGGGCTTCAATCTTACACCATATCACAGGCACTTATAACTTGTAGGGCCATACATTTCAGATTTAACGTTGTTAAACAATGCCTTTAAGTAGGAATTAGAAACATGAGCTTGGAGCTTACTTTCAAGTATGTATAATGTACTTGCCTTCCCATCATTCATGTAAATATAAAGTAGTCAACCAATCAATATCATCTATTGCAAATCGGATTCCTGCCTTTAACTTCAATACATAATTTATTTAGCCTGCCTCTACATGTTAGTTAAATTATATCAGTTCATATCTACCCCAGATATGTGATCAGCAGGCTATTAATGATACATAAAAGAAGGGGGGAGAAAGAGGAGTATGAAGAGGGACCGGAATATATTTTGAATGACTTGAGGGACAGAAAGAGGGATAGAAAGAGAGAGTGGGGAAGGGAGAAAGAGAGAGAGAGTGGGGGACGGAGAGAGAGAGAGAGAGAGTAGGGGTAGGGGGGGAGAGAGAGAGAGAGAGAGGGGAGAGAGAGAGAGAGAGAGGGGAGAGAGAGAGAGAGAGAGAGAGGGGAGGAGAGAGAGGGGAGGAGAGAGAGAGGGAGAGAGAGAGAGAGAGAAAGAGAGAGGGAAAGAGGGAGGAGGAGTATCTCAATAATGAATAGATGCTTTTCATATGCATCTTTTTATATCAACTTGACTTAAGAATATAAAGAGGGGAAATGTAGACATCATATCTGGGTAGTTCTTAGCTAACAGAGATTAAAAATTAGCATTATTCATATATAGTGAGAGGGAGAGGGAGAGAGATAGAGAGAGAAAGAGAGAGAGAGAGAGAGAGAGGGAGAGAGAGAGAGGGAGAGAGAGAGAAAGAGAAAGAGAAATAGAGACACACGAATGCACACCCACGCAGAGTTTGAACTCGTACACAGAAGAAAAGGTTGGAGATAGAAGGAGACTGTTATCTTTACGCAGTTACAAGCAAGGACAGCTTCTGGGATGGTAAATGAATTACTCCTCTCAAATTCCTTTCTTAAATAGGCCCCCTGTCTCTAGATAATTAATCATAACAACACTTCATTGGATTACCTTACCCTCCTGATAACAATTAACCCAACAAAACATTATACTTAGGAGAGTCATACATTTCCTATATCATCAGAATTATGCCAAGACAATCAATCAGGGAGAAATCAATCGATATTGAGTTCCGGTTACAATCTCTTCAAAGGGTTTACCAGCGGTGCTCTGCACTTGCCCAATTGAATTTGCTACTCCAAAGAACATATTTTGATATGCCTATAAAGGCTTTGCTACAATAAATTCATGTATTAAAACTATTTCCTGTTTGGTCTAGCACATTTGCATTAAATCTTCTATTACAATTGTTTGCTTAAAATGAGAGGACCTGTTGTCATCGCCCATCAGATTAAAGGAACTATTCAACATTGTAAAGTACAAAATTGAAGTAGTTTAATTTGTGCAATGACTCTCTGTTGAAATATTTGAAAGATGCATTCCATATTTCACATAAAATGATGAGTTTGAATTTGAGCTTCAATGTAAGATACAGTTCAAGCTTTTTTTTTCCTGTATGAACCTTGCAAAATTATGATAATTATCTTTAGCCAATCCATCTTTATGAGAGATATAATATTTCTAGCAAACAGATCCTATATAGATCACAGAGCTTTTTATTTTCTACATTGGCTAAAACTACAAGACATAGTTGCATTTAATAATTTCAAACAAATTCAATGTAGTGTCTGTCACAATGTGACTGGGATTTCTTTTTTAGACAGAGAATGTAATGGACAGGTGTTAGATGAATAGATGTTGTTGGTAGCAATTTACCAGGTCAACTAACTTGGATTTACTAGGTCAACTAACTTGGGTCTCTAGTAGAGCAGGTGTCTGTCTTTGTCTGTGTGTGGGGAAAGGATGAGGAGAATGTTAATAGGAAAGTTTTGTATAGAGGATTCAGTAAAAGGAATTTGGATGGACAGTTTTGGCATGAGAGGAATACAAAGAATGTTAAAGAGGTTACTATTGAGAGAGCCAACGTGGATTAGAGATTTAGGGTAGTTTAATCAGATTGCACATGAGATCTCGAGAGGAGCAGACCTTTCAGAATTTGGTCTGACTTTGGGGAGTGAATGAGGGGTGTTGGCCACAAAGGTAAAAGTTACAGCCACAGGCTATAAGCATGCTGTTGCTGGCATAGACTTTCCCTATACTATGGGACCAGGCAAGAACCAGGCAGCACAGGCCGACGTGGTAGAAGCCTCATCAGCCCTCGCCTCAACTTGAATCATCATTTGAACATCTGAACTGTAAGTTACAGAAATAAATGTATTACCTTATGTGTAATTATCTGGAAGGAAGGTTAATTTCATACATTTCATAAAGAGAAAGATATTTTCTATGTACTACGAGATAATGGATTTTTGTGTTGTATCTTGCTTGTTGAATAAGGAAGACTTAACCTTGATTATTTTGTTTGCTTAGAATATATGAGGTTTAAGAAATTGTATTGCACTGAAAAGTTATACATGTATAACTATATGTAAAGACATAGGTGTTATTCTATAATTTCTAGGTGAAAGATACCGTACATGGTCAGTTATAAATGTCGCCTATTTTAGTGGTTTATGTCAGTGAAGCTAAGCTCTAGAGATTGTAAATGATTGTTGTAAATTGTTAGGATTTACATCGCTATAGCTATCGTGTTTATTTTTGTAGATGGTTGGCTATTTGGTTTCCATTTAATTCTTTTAGGGACAAGCTGGGCTCGTAGCCATAACCCTAGGCACCATCAGTGAATGGACATGTGTTCGTAGTCGACAAGCTCAGGCAACCTACTCGCGTCAAGTCGTTGAGTCAACGCCCAGTGCTGTCGTACACCGGTCAGGCTTAGCAGGTCATGCATCATATCGCACCGGGTTACTACATACACCAGAGTATTTCGTTCCGCCTATTCAGAAACAGGAAGAGGTGGTATTTACGAACTCTAAATCGGGACTCTCTAACCCACAACAGTATACTTTTTATATAAAGACCGGGCTAGAGTCGGTGGGTGATTACCTGTATGTTATACCTCGAAGGATGACCTGGTCAATGGGTAATCTATTTTCCTTTGGAAATGTGAAGTACTTTGTGACATAATTGAGTACCGATAAGACGACATAAACAGTGATAGGATATACTCCTATCTCAGTTCATAGTGATTCTGAATCATTTTATATTTGTCAATTATTTGCATGTCTAATTATATTGAGCCGATGGCTCTTAAATAAACTGTTTGTACCCTATATTTTTACTCTTGAAATTGCTTGATTTTCTTGTGATACATACTCATTTCATCAGAACCTAATTTATCGTCAGACCATAATAATTTTCAGTATTTAAATCTGACAGTGTCATTGTCAACCTTCATGTCACAACCTACTTTCTGCAGGCAAAACATGAACTAACATTGTTGAATTTCAAGAGAAACAATGAGGCCGCATTACCTTATATTTCAGTAGAGATTGATTTAAAAGTCAAATCTCATGTTGATTTTTAGTGATACAGAGCACCATTCCTTCCCAATCACATTGTTGCTGTTTTAGTTCTTTTTTTCTTTTTTTTGTGTGTCTTTGTTAACATTCCACCTTTATTGTTTACATGTAAAGCTCAAAATATTGAAATAGAAAGGACTACGAAGCAGTAGAAAGAGTCTACATGGATATTTTGTCCCTAGCAACCTGCAGTGGTGCTCCTTCAATATCCACTTCTGTGTATGTATGAATATTTTATGAGAGAATTCTAATCAAGTTATCCTTCAATTACTTGTTTTCCCATTAAATATTTAAATCAAGGCTCTAATACCAAACAGATTTGTTTTCTTCAATATTTTGTTATTGCATATGTTGCCAATTGATGTAATAGTCACATATATGTTACCATTCCATCATGCATTCCATGCAGGGAGGGGACTGAGAGAGGATGCTGAGAGGGGAAACTTCGAAGCCTGGATCACTAAGGATTGACTTGTCATGACTCCAGGCATAGTGCACTTCTTGGAGGTGTCTCACTAGAAACTCTTGCTTTTATTCCAATTACATTCTCTTTATTAAACGCAGGCGGAACATTAATTCTTGTAGCACCCCTTCACTATCTATTGTAAACAATCACATGGAGTTGAACACAGACTATTAATGCCTGTATTCATGCAAACAATTTCTAATTTTGATCAAGATGATGGCACAGTTTTATCTCTCTGAAAATATTTTGAGTATTTTAAATTATTGTAACACCAATATATGTCAAAGCATGTTTTAAATTCATGAATTTAATGTAAATGAATATTTGCGATATGAATTTGATGCTACACTGCAATGAATTAGATTAGAAATACACACACTAGTTCAGTTTAGGATATATTGTAAATGCAGGTAAATTGACCCTTCCTTACTGAATGTCAAATACATGTAGATGATTTGCATCTTTATTTCCTGGCTTACAGTAAGCCAACAAAGCTAGCGCAAAGTAAATTTGTCCATTACTATGAAACTTACACTATTTTATTTCCAGAATAAAAGCTCAAGAGCTCGTATCCTTTGAGAGGCCAGAGATAAGCATGCTCAAGTATGAAATAATTCAGGGTCTTTGCATTGATGATCTAAAATCTTCAAGTTCTTCTTGCCTATTATTGGAAAGGATTTGAAACCTTATACAGAGACACGCTCTGTTTGCGCAGTGAATATAAATGTCTTTAAACAGAATCTTGATTTAATTTGTTGTCTTTGAATATACTGAAGGGAGGATCATGGGAAAGATGGTGGGTGGGTGGGTGGATTGGGAGGAGGATAAGAATTGGTAGCTGTAGCCCTATCCCACACCTTTTGATCTGGTGAGAACCGATCAGATCTAACACTAGAATTAAATAGATGTTTACTCAATGTTTCATTCATAGGCATATTTATTGAAATGCCACTAACTATTTAAGTCACATATTCTCATCTTTGTTATTTCCATTATCATGCTATCATTCATATGTCATGGTGTTATGCATGTTATTTCATCTCTCCTGTTATTTTTATGTTTAGGCCCTATTCAAAAATCATGATTACTTGCTTTACATTAATCATCATGACTTGATGAACAGTAGTATCCTTTGCTGAATGTTAGTTTAAACATGGATAAAATCAATTCAATTCAATCCAATTTCTGTCCTATAAAGATCCAACTTATTCTCTAACGCAACGCAGAACCCTTCAGCAGTAATCAGCACTAAGAGAAGAGATCAATACGTCAGTAGCATTGGAGTTTCATTACCTTATTATCAAAACAAACGCTCACCCGTCTTAATCTTATACCAGCCTAATTGAGTTGTGCTAATTGATCAAATGTTGTGCTACAAGTTGAGACTATAGATCCTAGTATTGTCATTATGTTCATTTTCTATCTCTCTCTCACTCTCTCTGTCTTCCCCCTTCCTTCCTCCGCTCACTTTTTCATCTCTCCTTCTCTCTTGTTCTCTCCCTTCTATCATACAATCTTTCAAATCAACTCTCCCTAACTCACTACTTTTTCTCTTTCATTTTTATCCTATTATTCTTTCATTCAGTTTAATATAATTCTATAAATGTATATTTTTTTCAGTTACGGAATTACATCTTTCCTCTAATTCAGAAAGTACATGTATTGTGTATTGTGCATCAATGGCCACTTTATAAATAATATTGTAAATGTCTATGAGAACATTGCTATTGAAAATATGTTAAAATTATCACAGAGTTTAAAACAAATATATAATCTGACTACACAAGCATAAAGGCAATAGATGGATTGTAAACGTGTAAAATGGAAGTTTGATAATATTGGAACCTTTGAAAGACAACTACATGTTAATATCTTGCAAAATAAACTACTTGGTATTCCAAAGGACTTTGTCAGGTAAAAGACAAAGAGACCAACAAATTTAATTTTTTTTTTAATTTGAAAGGAGAGAGAAGTGACAAATGGACAATTTCTTACCAGAAAATGCCCTAATAATAAAGTGGAGAGAGCAGAATTAAAATATCTAAGAGGATGGCTTGATTTCATTTACAACTGAAGTAAATAACAGTCCTGGGCCCCGTCTTACAAAGAGTTGCGATTGATCCAAATCAATCGCAAGTCCTTCAAACAATCGCAAGTTTGCAATCTCCTATCTCTTATGTACATGGTTGCGATTCATATCAATTGCAACTCTTTGTAAGATGGGGCCCAGAAATTTAGATAACGAAAAACAAAAAACAACAACAAACGTACAAAAAAACAACAACAAAATCCCTGTGCGCCTACTTGAACAATGTACCAATGAAATATCTGAGGGAAGATTAGAGCTCAAGAGCTTATATCATGACATATTTTTGTCTTACAAATAGCCGGAGGAATTAACTTAAGTATTCCAAAAGAATGCACTGATGCATAAAACAGATAATTCTAATACAGGGGAATAGATATGATAGACATATAACATTGATTTGAAAAAGCATAAACAAGTCTGAAATTCCAACATGAACCATTGTCATGAGATTCAAGACAATATAGTCAAAATTTGGGACTAAATTCTGACAATTACTGCCTGAAGCACATTCATTGAATGATAACAGATGTTTTTTAATGTCAATTGAGTCAAAAGATACATTTCAATATCTATTTAATTCATGAATACACCTATATGTATGTGATTAATACAAAAAGTTCTGTAAAGTTGTTGTGGAACACCTGATTTTTCAAGACATTACAGTGTTTAGTGTTAATTTATGTATTTTTTTCATCACTAATACTGTGTTTTACTTTACAACAGTGACAACATATCCCCCTATTCTTTATAATAAAAATAGGGTCAATCAATAGTTTCCTAATATTCTGTAAAAAAAAACTCTCTACTGCTATCTGGGTTTAGGGTAGATCGATGCACAGATAGTTAGTCTGATCAATAAATGGCTCATTGAAGACACTTTAAGTTAAGATTAAGAAATGTAGCACACATTTTGTGTCAGGGGACATGCAATATTGGATGATGTGCTGGGCAGTATTTCTTTAAATATTTCCCACTGTGGATGTGATAAATACCTTAAGCCATGATGGGACAGTAGAATCCTTCCTGATGCCAATGATCGCTTCCCAGGAGGCCGCCGATAGTTCGGGTTGACCTGTGGATAAAAACCCCAAATCAAGATATGAATAATGCAGAGAATACAATATCCATATACTTCATCACAGAACCAATCTCAGTCACGGAGGACATAAATCTAACTCAACCTCCCCTTTGGATGGCCTTTTCATGTCATTGCCATCTCATCATTAAATTCCTACTATCTTTACCTTTTTTCTTCATGCCATTCTTACGATCTCTCCTTTTCTCTCCATCTATTCAAAACCTTGTTCATTTCCTTATTTTTTCATTTCTTTCTTCCATGTTTTTATCGTGTGTGTGCGTGCATGCGCGCTTTCTCTCTCTCTCTCTCTCTTCTATTTCTCTCTTTTCACTTATTTCAGTTTATTGAGAGAAAATTCTTTGTAAAAACAGTCCAAAGACTGATACATACAAATATTACATGGTTGCATTGTTCAAATTTATATAAAAGAATAATAAATTCACACAAATTGACAAGGAACTAAAAATTGAGGTGTAGATATGAAGAAGAATTGATTGTTCTCAAAAATAGTGCCCTAAAAATCAATGATAAACATAAATAAATGATACACAATTCTGTCTCGGTAATAATGCTAAATAATTATGATTCCATGATGTCACTTGAGTGATAAAGGGCGTGTTTATTGGGTCTTGCCACTAGCGTACCCCACTATCATACCCCACTATCGAACCCCACTATACAATAGTGATTTGCAGGATGTCGTGTTTATCGTCTCTTCACGATTCAAAATAAAGGCCTTGTGTCTGCGCAGCTGTTTTGACCCGGGAAGCAGACAGTTTCTCGGAGGTCAACTACACACACATGCTTGTACACAACACATGGCGCGCTAGCCTCCGAACCGGACAGTAACCTGGGTGGTTTGATTTGTATGTGGGGTTCAAAACTGTATGTCGTATTCAAAACACACCTTTTTGCGTCTTTAGATATGCCCATATCTAAAGCAGAGCTGCCAACCTCCAGAACAGAAAATCAGTAATCACAAGGCTCAAAATCAGTAATTTGGGGTATAAATCAGTAATTTCTTATGCGGCGCTATGAATCTAAAAAAACGACACGCCAACACTGCGCGGACGCATGATTATCTGAAATTTTTGGTGATTTTACTCACACAAAGATGTTAAGTATTGAATTTCAGGTCATCACAACACAGTTTATCATGAAAAATGGCTCCTATTCACAGCACTCGCTACGATAAATCATATTTAATTCATTAAAAAAAAAAAAAAAAAAAAAAAAAAAAAAAAAAAAAAAAATCTTTTTTTTTTTTTTTTTTTAAATCCGTAATTTGAGACAACATTCCGTAATGGTCGTTAATTTCCGTACCAATTACGGGAAATCCGTACTAGTTGGCAGCTCTGCTAAAGACCTTTAAAAAAGGATTTGCGTTTATCACCTTCTAAATTTGCCTGAAAGGCGTTTGAGAAACCTGATTCTAGCCAAAAATTTGGTCAATAAATGCAGCCAATGACTTAACAATTCAAATAAGTGCTTCTGACCCATAGGAAATATATTATGTATCCAGTCCACCACATGCCAAAGGTATTTGCCCTATTTTATCATTCACAATGGCTGTCTGATTACCTAATAGGAACACACCTTAAATAGCAAAGCCCTATACCCCTTCAGAGTAAAATATGTAAGAAAATACTGAGAATCCTAAACAAGTATTACAACCACATCAACTGAGGTATGAGATCTTTCCCTTCAAAGTATGATTCGTTGATCAATCCCAACAGCAATCAACAAGTACAAAACCCCATCAACTGGAGCATTAGATCTCCTAGCCCCTCCCCCTCTAAACGACCTTCAAAGTAAGAATCTGTGAGCAATTTTAAAGACCTTCAAAAACTATCAAAACCCCAACAACTGGGGCATGGAATCTTTCCCCAAACTCCTTCAAATAATAATATTAGGGCAATTTTAAACCCTAATCAACTGGGGCATTGGATCTTTCCCTTCAAAGTGAGATTCAAAGAGCAATCCTACAAACCCTCAAATCGTATCAAGACTCCTAATGACTGGGGCATTGGATCCCCCTTCAAAATAAGATCCAAGAAGAAATCCCAAAGACCCTCAGTAGGTAGCGAAACCACATTCAATGGGGCATTGCATCCCCTATAAAAACCAAGATTCTGAGATCAATCTCAAGACCATCGTGAAGTATCGAAACCCCTATTGAATGGAGTATTGGTACTCCCCCTGAAGCACCTCCCCAACTCAAAGGCCCTCAACAAGTATCAAAGCCCCTATCAACTGGGACATTGGATCTCCCCCCTCCCCTCCCCCCTAAAAAAAGTAAAATTCACCAAGTCCCTAAGACACTCAACAAGTATCTAAAGCCCCATCGACTGGAGTAATGGAACGCCTCCCAACCCCCTCCATCCAGTGACGGTAATGGGACAATATGCATGCAGAGCACGGCAGCCCCCATATCTATAACCATGTGGGTTTTATGGACTGCTCTGGATATATCACTCCCCGTCCAGAGGTATCTCTCAGATCTGTGAGGTGAATACTAGATCTTCTTGCCAAGGATTAGTGAAATACACAGGAGAGATTCGGGACATTCAGTCAAGAGTGCAAAGAAGATTGAGGAAGTGGAGAGAGAGAGAGAAAGAGAGAGAGAGAGAGAGAGAGAGAGAGAGTGGGAGTGAGGAGGAAAGAGAGGACAGAAAGAGAGAGAGAGAGAGGAAAATAATATAGGGAGAATGACCAATATAGAACGCGAAATAAAATGAAAGAATTGGACAGAGATTACGATAAATTTTATTTCCCAAGATATGGGAAGATGAAATAAAAGGTTCAAACAAAATTGAATTGTCCCATAAGAGGAACAATCATACACTTTTTACTCTCTCTCTCTCTCTCTTTCTCTCCCTCCCTCCCTCCCTCTCTCCCTCCCTTCTGCGTCTGCATGAAATTGATTGGAAAACATTGTTTAATGAACAACAAAAGAGCCCATAAAGCAAGCAGAAATAGTTTCATTCCCTTCCAATACTCAATTTGGAGGTTCATATCTATTGCTGATGAATATACTTTATGTCAATGGAGAGCTGGATGAACGTAGAAAACAAATATAAAGGAATTCAAAATATTTTTTGAAAGCAAATTAAAACCTCATTTTTCGCACCCCTCCAAATTATGGGTTAACCGGGGTCAAATATACGGCATTTAAGGTGACGATACAACATGTGGACCTGATTGATGCACCTACTGTATATAGCTGAGGCAATGAGCCGAGCTTAATTAATGCAAAGTCATTGTGAATATGCGTACTCAACAGAACATGACATCATCAAGTCGATAGCTGGTTTTTAGGTCGACAACTTCTGATTTTTAAAGCTTTGAGATTTAGAGTTTTCAGAGAGCTGTTACTCCTCTGACAGACACTAAAATAACATATAATTGATATTATTGAAATTTATGGCTCATAAGCTTTCTGTTGATATATATTGTAATTCATCTATTTCAGTGTGACTTCCGGCAGGATCTGTGTCCAACTCAGATCTCGATAGCACATGTGTGAGAGATACACTGGCTAGTCTACTGATTGGAAAAGGCACCTGTCCGGTAGGCACAATGATTCTATTTCATCTGATCACAGCCAGAAGGACATTAACTCAAATACTTTGATACAGCCTTAACACCCATCTGGCTCTCAATAGCCGATTTCATCCTTGTTCTGACTGATGGACTTATATGGAACAGAGAGAGAGAGAGATAGGTGCCTCTTTTTCTAATTAGTCTTCAGGCCGCTAGAAGAGTTTACATTCTAAATGTAAGTACAATGAAGTCTGGCTCAATCACTTGTAGTTTTAATACATGAATACAAAAGAAAGTAACATGTAATATGTTGTAGCAGAGCTGAAAATTAAGTTCCTTAAAAAAAAAGTTTGGTGTGAAATATTGCAGGATTATTGGTAGGGGGTGGCGGTGAGGATAAGAGGGTGACATCCCTTCTCATATATTTTTTTGACAGGCAATCCATAATCACTCATTGTCACAATTGGAATGTTTTCATTCAGACATCTAAACTGAATAGAGTAAGGACCCTTTATCATACTGACTCAATCCCTGTAGGCAAATTTAAAAATCTGAGGACTTCTTGCTTGAATTATAGAAAAAAAATCAGTAACTTGAGAGTAAACCCAAATAAATTGTTCCTCTGATGCCCCTTGACGGGCTCTCATTCCATTCAATACACTCCTGTCAGGAATTTTGTTTTGAATCTAAGAACCTCCTTCTTTTGCAGGGTTTGCTGAACATGTTAGAGCAACAACCATGAAGAGCACCTATTTCATGTGTCAATCGCATGTTTGCATTAATAATAAACGTCAGACTAACCCTCAAGCTTCCACAAGTTTCACTCCATAGAATATGGACAATAAAATCTTGAATCTTGAATTAGTACAATGTATGTCCATGTTCACTCATGTACGAGTACATTCACACAAACTCATTTACATGTACTGAAGAGGTGTCAAAGTCAAGTGGTTTGAGCACTTGACTGGAGAGGTAAAGGATGAAGGTTCAAACCTTGGCGTGTCAGGTACGTGTTTGTCTTTATCTTCAACGCCTCTATCCACCCAGGGGGGTGTTTCACAAAGATCCTAAGTTGAACTTATTTCTAAGTTGGACTTAACAATTATGGAAAGCCGTTAGCACCTTTGAAAATATTTTTCTAAAATTATTTTAAAAGGCATAAAATATTGATTCAAATCATTCATATTTTCAATTATCATGGGAAATTTCATGTTCTTGATGTGAAATTTATAAAAATTCTAAAATACTTGAATTTTCACTGTTGAATATATTTTATTTTAAGGCTACAAATGGCTCTCCATAATTTGTAAATCCAACTTAGAGATAAGTTGAACTTAGGATCTTTGTGAAACACCCCCCAGGTGTTCTGAGGTGTATGAGATGTGAACATGATTTGTGTTTGACTACTGTATATACACTGTATGCCCATCTCTACAAGGCAACTGGCCGAA